TTGCCACAAATACAAGCAGAAAACGCACTCAGGACCCTTCACACAGTCAAGGAAACATTCGGGCTCGTACATTTTCGCATGAATCGATGTGCACAAGCGCAACTCGTTTGTTAAGTGCCCATAAAAAGTTTATTTTATGCATACTTGACACTTCACAATTCCGCAGGGGTACACATTCTTATGGCGATTTGTCAATCGATGCGAGAAAACAGATAGTTGCATAAATTAAAATCTTTAACGAATACATATATCCCAGAAAGTTTAATGGATAGGGTTATTTAACCAGATTTTACTCACTAACCTTCAGCTAAACTAAATAATCGTTTGTGTGACGTGAGACTGCACTTTATTCTAATTCGCATGCCAAGGATACGAAAAGCCAGAGTCATTCACTTTGCAGTTACATTGCAGCTATTCCTAAACGTCCGCCCACTTTTGCAGGAGCGTAAACCCGTTTTAAAATGAAATCAAATATTCATTGGCAAACATAATTGTCCGACTGTGTACTTGGCCGGCTTGGCCTTTTAATTAAGTTGCCGGCTCCGCAAATAGCAAATAGCTGGCACTCGGCATTTGCATGCAGGCTATAAATGCTCTCCATGTGATTTCCCCGCTGGACTCTTTGCCAGTGCCACGGACATGGCCAAAACGGGGAAAAGACGGCTCGAACTGGGACATGGGCCATCGGCCATGGGCCATGGAAATATGAATGGCTGGCCATAAAACCTACGTCAGAAATCGACGCCAGCGAGCGAACGGTAAAAGTACAAATGATAATAATAACTGCTATATACACATAGGAACACCAGTGCTTAACAATAAAAGCCAATGGCAACAAATATTGATAAGTGCAATTTGAAATATTTGCACAGCGTTTAGTGGCAAACATTGTGAATTGCATTTTGATAAAGTGATATCCGGATACAAATCGATATATTGCAGGACTTTCACTGTAGTATTCATGAATGTTTAATAGAGACCTCATTTCAACGAATTTAATATTGTTTTCGTGATATAGAGTTCAATTAGAGTTTTTTGAATCGTTTATTTTGGTGTTTAAAATATGATTTGGCGAATGAATTGTGGGTATCGTACTTATGTTTAAATAAGTGAATTGAGCAACTATCATGCAATTTACGGCTTTTAACTTAATCAAAGATATAACTATATACCTCGGATGGGTACAATAGTTTAATGAAACATTTTTTCACCCGTTGTATTAATTCTTGCAATCCATTTTCACACTTAAGCTAATAAGGATTTTATTGGTTTAAATTGGGCTTTGCATCTATTGTCCAATGGCAAGACTTTATGGCTTTTTAATGAGCCCCCAAATGTGCGGGCCATAAATCAATGCCTTGGATGAGAAAGTGGGTCTCGTGGCAGGGATGGCAGGATGGGATTGTATAAGTTAACACATCTCCTACACTAACAAAGACACACATGTGCAGTCGTAGTATCGCATTATGGGAAAGCTTATCGAGAACTCAGCATCGCCAGCATCGATGGCGAAGCTGTTTCCGGCCTAATGCCATTAAATCCTATCAATTTTCCCCACCCCACAGCGAATTTAAATATTTATGCTGTGGCTTAAGCCGGCAACAATAACACAGAGAGGAAAGGTCCAAAAATTGGCTATAAAAAAGTTTCGGGGTGGGCATAGAAGAAGGTCGTCGGAGCAAATTGAACCCAAGAGCGTCCAAGCACTTAATTGAACCTATCAATATGTAAATATGTGTATACAAACATAGGCCTTATAAAATACCCATGTGTTTATTTGGGAAATTCCTGCTTGCTTTTTCATATAAGACGAGCCCCAGTTCTTTATTTACTTTACTTTAAATTTCTACATTATTAATTTTAGCCTGCAGCTTCTATTTCAGCCGGACGGAAAAAGTTTCTTCCTCTGGAATTTTGCAAGTATAATGGGCACGTTCGACTTCTCACAGACTATAAAACTTGAATTGTCTGCTAATTCGGGATTTCAGGCAGAGTCTGCTGAACTTTTAGCAGTGGCTTACAGTAAAGAAGAAATCGTGTCTTTAAACACTGCACTTTCTTAAATTAAATGTTAACTTTATTTGAATAAAATATATTTGTTTATATATCTGGCTCCCCTTTAAAGCAAACTGAAAACATGCTACAATTAAATAAAAGTAAATGATATGCTGCCTTAATTAACTGCTGTCTCGCATATATGGCATACATTCAGATTTCTGTCAGACATAGCTCCACCTGCGGGGCATCGCATTCCTTGCCACTTTCGCTTTTTTCGCGTTCATAAATTTTGCAGTGTCTGCGGCATGTCAGAGACCGCTTTTCCCCCAGACATTTTCCGCGGAGTGCGTGATGGCGATGGCAGCCAGCCGAAAACGAGAAAAATCTGTCAACGGCACTTTTCACTTCCCTTGATGTCTGCCCCTTCGGTCTTCTGACTCCCCCCTCTTGCCTCCTGCCTCCTGCCTCCTGCCTCCTGCCACACAATTCCACCGCCACTCACGGCAGCATGTTGTGCTGTTTTATGCCACTAAATATGCCAAAGCGCGCGTAAATTGATTTAAACACGGCGACAAGGACGAGACATCGTCTCCAACGATGCTTATGTGGGTACGTGGGCGATGGCTGACTTGGCGGAGTTGGTGGGGGATCCAACTAGGGACCAGGATCCTCTTCAGAGTTGGAGCCTGTGCTAATCAGCCCCTGCTCCTCCTGCCAGGAATTACTGCTTAAATATTTGCATAAGGGATATCAGCAGATTCCGAGAAGAAGGCAGCGGCATTGCGCACAATTTTTCAGTGTTTTCTCATAAAATATTTTGATAAGAACTAAAAGTGCGGGTTACTAGACAAAAATGCTCGTTTCCTTGGGCGAATATGCAAATACACGGCGCCCACATTGTTGGATAATTCTATACTTTCTTTGTCACGAAATACAATACTTTATGGTTCGGAAATGTTACAGTAAAGGTAAAACTATTTGCTGGATAAAATCTATCGAAATTCAAGAAGCCAAACAGTGAAGTTTACAATTTCTATAAAGCATAGTAAGGATATTTTCTGTTTGCCTAGAAGGATAAACCCCTTGCTATCATGTGGCCCGATGGCTAAATGTTTACTCAGCAATGAAAAGAACATTGACATATTTTTGGCGTAAACAACAATATTGTCTCTCGGCACCTACCTCAATTGTCAATAAACGCTGGTATAAATAAAAGCGTCTGCGTTATTCCAGTTGCCAGTTGCCATAAACCCGCCGCGATGTGAGCCCATAACTGGCCTTAATCAACAACAGGCCAACGTCAAACAATATTTTAATCAGGGCGGCCCTGCGCCCGATCGGGCCTTTGGCCATAAATCTCGAACGAACGAATAGAGGCCGAAAAAGTTCCAAAATACGACGGCGAAAAATCAATTGGCCGTAGTAAGTTTGACTTGTTTTGCCGGATTTTCCGCAAAAGGGGCGGAATCCTGCGTCACGGCCTCGCCGGATGATTACGCCCGAGAAGTTGTCCTGGACATTTGATTATTATTATTAACACGTGACTGAAACGGGGCTAATTCAAGCGAGAATTTAATTAAAAATTTCACCCTTAATAACTGGCCGGGCCAAAGTCGAGATGGCGATGAAAAGTGAAGGGGGTTCGATGGGGAAAGCAGAGGGGGCTCAAGAAAAAAAAGACGTGACATGAAGCGCTGATGGCCTGCGATTTTCCCGCCATTGTCCGGATGACGTTGCCCGTTTTGGTTACGCCTGTAAATTGTTCGATGGTCGTTTGTCCGCCTTTCTCTCTTTTATGAGCTTTTTTTAATTGCCACGCACTCCGACTCGAACTGGGAGTCGGTGTCGGTTCGTACTTATCGTCCTGGCAAAGGATAAGCCTGCACGCAGAACGAGGATTCATTGCCCGCCGCTTGAGGAATGATGCTGCAATTTCATTGATGGCCTTCGCCGGACCATTAATTGTTTAATTTACGAGTATCGGGCCACAAATGAGTTTTATGAAGCCCATGTCATATAATTTAATCAACTGGGACGTAGTTTTCCAGGGATATGGCGGGATTACCGTTCTGAATTCGGAACCGATCGATCCGACAGCTGTCAAAACTTTATTGTTATTGAAATTCCGAAAACACAAGCGAAATTAGAACAAAACTTTTAACTCAATTACAAAGTCATTGAAAAACAAATTGCAGGCACAAGCAGAGCGAAATGAAAAGAAAACAGGAGGGAGAAATGGGAAAAGCCGAAAATGCATTTGCGGATCCCGCCCACCCGCAGCCACTCCCACTTCGGTGGTTTTTCAACGAGTTCGGCACATAAAAGAAAGAAATTGCTTTGCTTGTCGCTGCAGAAAGTGAATTTCCTGTATTTCCACCGCTTCTTCTTGGCTTTCTGCTATACCATTATTATTGTTATTTTGGGGTTTTAGTGCTTGCAGGTTTTTAATGGTCTCGCAATATTGTGGTGGCTTGTGGTTTGTTGTTGCGCTGGCCGTTGACATGGCACGGCATTTCGCGCTTAAGGATGCAATCCGACTTGTTGGCGTATTTCCGCGTTGCTCGGCCTTGCCCGAGTCCTTCGACTTCAGTTGAAAGACATGCACCCCCCACACACAGTACGTCAGTATTCCCTGCACAACTGCAACTGCTCACACCGAGATTATGCAATAAAATAAAGCCAACAATATCCGCAGCAATACCAATTATTTTGTTAGTCATAAGGAGAAAACAATTGGTAAACCGTTTAATTCTAATCGCCTCCTATCAAGTTTTTATTCAAAAAAAAAAGTTAAAAAATTTATATTAAAATTGTATCTCTTTAATTCTTAGATATTCAAGGTCTAATAATGTTGTAGAAAAAAACGAGGGAATGTTTTAAATAAACAACCACTTTTCAATTTTTCCGACAATTATTGGCAGGCACTAGAATAGAAATGTTAAACAACCTGACATTCCCCTCCATTAATAATTTGTACATGCAATTTAAAATGTATGGCTTACAAACAATTGGCTCCTGGGTTCCCGTCAATTTAAACTCGTCAATGTTTTAAATTTAGACAAATTAATTATTTATACAACGCGCCGGGTTGCAGACAATTTTTGTGAAAATTGGTTAAGCACAATTGTAAACGATATTTATTTTTAAATTGTTGTTAGCACAAATTTTAAACCAATTCCCTTTTTTATGTATGGTTAGCACTGTTGACCAGAATCGCGCGAGAGCACTTCTACCAATCGTTTTTAAAATCGTCACTTGTTGGCAACCGCCGCCAATTTATTCCGCTTAAGACGCCGTTGTTACCGTCAACGTGCAACGCCGTACAGGAACTGAAATGTGCGGGTGTTTTGGCCAAACTGTTGCGACTGTGGCCAGAAGCAGGCGACCACGAAGAGCCGATGAACAGCCGACGGTGGGCCAAAAAGCCGACGCTTGCTGGCCTTCCAGTTGCAGCGTTGCCGCTTCCAGTGAGCAGGTGGCACGGGGAGGTGGTCTCTTATCAGCGCTGCCAGCTGCTCTGATAGGGCTGAAACAGCTGACGAGCGGGCGGCAAGTGGGTGGCTAAGGGCACATGTGCGGGGTTACTGATTAGTCCTTCTGAGCCTGCCAACAGATGGCACAATCAATAACATAATAACAGCGAGAATAACTAGATTTTATTTGGGATATATAAAAAATACGCATTTAAAAACCAATAGTTTAAGACAAGAGATATAATAATGTGAATCAGTAGATTGTACTCCTGTTTAAAATATTTTCTAATAAAAGAAAGTAAATAATTGCTATTTTAGTACCACTGTCAGGTATTACCCCTCCAACTTGCTCTGCGCTTGCGCTGATTTCCCACTCCGACGGCCGGCTTTTCCCTCCTGGAAGCCAGGAAAACTATCTGTTGCTCCTGTGCCAAGGATGTGGGCTTAAGCTGGCCTCCCTCGGCTCTTTTCTAGCTGTGGGCCAGTGGACAAGCAATTTGCATGCGGCCCATTTGCACACGTTCGTGGGCATCTTACACACAAAATCACTCTGGATGGACACTTGACCAGCACCTGGTCGCCGAAAACCATCGAAAGGTCGTGGTCGTCATCAAAGGCGACTCCTCGGCCTGCAGAGTTTGCACTTTTGAAGGACCCCCCGAAATGGTCGAGCCTGAGTGCTTTTTATCGAAGCACTCACCTCATGGCTGCCGGGCACACTGATATTTTTGGGCAAATTGAAGTTGTGTGTTTATGTTTCGGTTCATCGATTGGACGCCAGATCCCTCTTCCCGCCCCCAGCCACGCCTCCTAGTATGGCGCTTATCGGCGACAGGAAACAGAAATGCTGCCATGCATAAACCACTCGAATGCATCGATGCATTTCCGCTGCACAATCAAATTACAAATATTTACTTTTTTAACTCCACGAAAAATCGAAAAAAATTGAACCTGAACACGTGCCAAAATACCTGAATTTTGTGTTCAGCCCAATTCGATTTCAATTTTCGCATATCCCACACTTTTATTTGTGTTTAGATTTTCGCTGGCTTGGTTGTTAATCGGTTGCATAAAGTTCATTAAACCAATGGAGGTACTGAATAAAAGCAGGAAAAGGAAAAGCTCGAATCGACGATTTTTAATCATGCCCTAAAAAGTAGGCTCTAAAGCCTTTTAAGTATTTAGTAATTGCTTTGTTTTTTCAATGCATATTTATTAAATAAACATTTCTACTTCTAGTAACCGCTAGAAAGTTAATGAATGGTTGACATCAACAATAAGCTGCCTGTACAACTGCTGTATTCCTACTAAGCCTTCCCCATCAACCCTTGCTAGAATTAAAACAAAAAAACCCTTCTTGGGTTGACAGCTATTCAGAGTGGGAGTAAGGACTTTAAGTTTAAAAAGCTTTCCAAAATTTCAACATTCAATTTATGCCGAGGGGACTTGCTCACATGAATTCATTTAAATGTGTATGTAAGTACTGCCGCCGAGCTGACCGCAAATGGAAAGCGTCTTTTGGTCAGTGGCCCTCACTCGAAAGCAAACCCTTTTCAATGCAAAACGAGAACTAATTTGAATAATTTACTTTTGCCGAACACGGCCAGCAACAACATCAAGAGCAGAAACAACATTAATTAAAATGAATGGCGGAGCGAAAAACTCAACAGCAAAAAAACCTAAGCAGGGGACTTGTAGAGCAACCTGTTAATCAGATGATGTAGCCAGCAGGCTAATTCCATGTTCTCCTGATTAACATTACACCCAAATCGGGCACTGGCCATTCAAAGTGGTCAGCCACTGCACTTTTTAATGCAAAACTAATTTGGGACACAGCGCACCGGAAAAAGAGTTTGTTAAATGAAAACACGCGAAAGTATCCTTAAATAATTAAATGCTAAATGAATTCTTTTCGGGGGCACAATGCTTTAATCAACCGCAAATGCAGAAAATGCAGCTGCTGTTGATTTGCGCTTGTGCGATTCATGGGGAAAAACTGGCGAGGAACGCAAAATCCGAGCGAGTATGGAGGAAAAATGTTGCACGTAGTCGGATTATGTGGTCGATTCTGTGACTGCGGCTTCTGCGGCCAAAACGTAACCAAAATATGAATAGACACTCATTAAAACGAATAAATATGTACATATTTTGTCATTGTCTGTCCAGACTATTTAAAGCAAATCAAGCATAAACGGTTGAAAATGTGAATGTCTAATTAACCATTCCTACTCAATTATTCATGTTAATTATTATTTTTTGTTTATTTGTATATTTGTTTGAGCAATAAATGGAACTACAATTCAATGCACTTTTTTAAAGCCTTTCTGGAATTCTTACTGATAAACTAAGAATCAAAACAAGTGCCATAATTTTTTCTGAGTCCATAATAATACAGCGTAATAAAATAAGAAATCGATTTTGTAGTTCGGATAAATATTTTTCTAACTGCTTTACGGTTCATGATCGAATTCCGGCCAAGCAATTAAAAAAGAATTTATGGTAAACCAATTCTCTGCGGTCAGCTCTTTAAGGCACAAATGAATGAAGATATATGTACGAATTCTGGCAGAGGGACATTTTTGTGGATGCGTGTCTATGTAGATGTCTATTCAGTAACGTAAACACGGCTGACCCAAGCAAAATTAAATTTTGATATGGGTCTATTTATTTGGCAGTCACATGAGACACTCTTGGCAAAGGCCCCCGCAAAACAAAAAAACTTTTGTGACTCTTGTCTGTAATGCAAATGCATGTGAATCGAGCCGAGCAATGTCTGGGTTCTGAGCCACCTATAAAATGGATTTGTTGACACTCCCACAAAAAACCACATCCTCACGTGGATAACTTTTTAAATATGCATGAGCACCTTTTTTGCCGTTGGTCCGGCCCAACCCGGCGTATACTTGATAACAGATATCTCCTTTCAACGCCACAGAAAACAATGCCGAGAGCAAGATAAATGGGGTCAGTAAGTATAGACCGAATACTGCAGACTTTGACCCAAAATACTTTAGGCGGTCAGTTTTTAAAAATAAAAAGTACAATTTATTACAGCGTATGACCGAAAAAGGAAAATTTCCATCAAGTTAAAGCCTTGAATTACGACAAATTGAGTCCAACCAACTGCTAAGAATAAAGTTAGTTGTTTACCTTCAAAATAAGCTGAAAAACAGAATGTTTGTTTCTTGTTTCATCATAATCATCGTTGGCCATCAATCATGCTTTGAGTGTAGTGTTTCAATTGGTTAAAACCAATTAACCTTTTAAGCAAAACAAAACATTTATTGCTAATCTTAAGCAGGGTTTTTATATACAATCATCTTTTGCGCAACAGAACATATATTAAACTTATATGGCAAAATGTTTTAAAAAGGTTTAAGCAATTTATGAAAAATTTATTCTAATTCAACTTACTTTCAACATAGTACATTAGTCTAGACGAATGTTCAAGGATTAATAGCCAAACAACCTCACTTTTTTTTAGAACTTTACTGTGCAAGTTTTCTTGCTGTTGACATGGCGACCGAGGTGTTGTCGCCTTCTGTCGTTAAACAAATTGAAATTGAACGTGAAATGGAGCAACTGGTTGGGCTCCCTGTTAAGCAGGCGCCAATAGAAATCCAGCTTCTAGGATATCGTTCCTCTAACCTCGTTCGTTAGGCGGCAGTTCCAAGGAACTTTAGCAAGGATTCAAAGGAAAATACAGATATACCGCTGATTGGCATGCATGAGCTGCACTTGGCGGTGGGCGTGGAGTCCAGCTGTTGATTTTAGTCCGCCTACACCTAAGCGAGACCTGGGGGATTCCGATGACAATGCACTGAAAACAAATGTCTTCCGAAAAGCTACTCAAAGGGTATTCAAGTGTTTGGACTTAAGCTACAAAAAAACTATATTTCCTAACATAGAAACACATCCTTTTGCTTAAACTTTAATATTCAATGTTTTGTTTCGAACTTTAAAAGACCTTACAAGATTAGGTGGCTAAGAAAAATAAATTTAACATGTTATTTTTCAAAGTGTTTTTGGAACTCAGAATCGAGTGTGCCACGTGCGATGATCAAAGGCTTGATGCTGCTGTAATAAATGTCAGATGGTGTTTTGTTAATTTTAAACGCTGCTTCCATCAACGAGTTGGTATGCAGGCGCAGGCACACCTGCCGGAAAACTTTTTGTTGACTTAATTTTCTTTTTTAGAATTTATGTTTGTGTTCCTGCTGTGTTTTTGTGTGCTTTTGCAAAAAATTGGCACACAAAGCAGACGTGCAAACTGTTGGGAAAGTTGCATGTGGTGTTAAGTTGGTCGCTTTTTTATGCTTTTTCTAGCGTTGCCTACGCCTGTTCGCCATTTCGCTTTTGAAGTCGCCGATGTCATCCACAATTCAAGGAAAATGGAAATTAAATGAACTTCTTAATCTGAGTAGCTTAGACTACACAAAGACAAGCAAACATGCGCAAACTCATGGCGTGAAAACAATTTGATTTGAGTCTTTCCTATAATTATTTGAAAAAAACCGATCAAAAAATGTCACCCAAATAAAACTCGCTTCACCTGAGGAACGAAAGATGAAATAAAAAGAATAAAACCAACAATTCATATTTTTAAACAAAACAACATTTTATTATTTTTATTTTCTGTGATGAAAACGTAAAAAATATAATTCGTTCCTTCATAAGCGTACAATTACAAAAGAGTTAACTAACTGCGGATAACCAGTAGAACACTCACACTGTCTACCGAATTTTGAATACTATACTTGGTGCCTAAAACAAAAAAGTGAAGAAAGTTAACAAAGGTGCCGCAGAAAAATGTAGTAATAGTTTACCTGGTTCTATTTGAATCATGTCGCCCACGCGGAGGACAAAATGCGATCCCTGCTCTTCGCCCAAGGCCATAGTCTGCACGGTAAATTCACCAAATTGCACAACGAATTTCTATAACGAGATTTAATTGATGAACTAAAGTCAAAATAGTAAGTAAGTTATATATTCCTACCAAAGGATGGACTTTGGCCCTCTTCTTATTTCGAGTCTGGTGAGGTTTAAATCGCATGTAGCCCAAAGTGGCTTTCTCTTTGGTATTATAGAAAGCATAGTCGATGCCGTCCACCTGGGTAAACATCAATTCATTTGCATGAGCTGCGGGGTAAATTGGAAATATGTTATAGCTTACAGATTTTAAATGATTAGATGATTTTCAACTTACAGACACTCGAGTTTCCTTCCGACATGCTGACAACGGGTTGGGCATCGCTAACGCCTCGCAGCCAGTTCATCAGTTGAATGGAGGCTTCCTCCTGCTCGTTTCTGATCGAACTTACGGAGGACACAATGTGCTCGCGTCCCGGCTCCGAAATCGGTGCCCTTTCTTGTGTGTCCACTGAGGGAGTCACGGAGGAGACCATAGGCTGATACTGCTCTTCCTCATCGTTTCTGAGCGGAGTTACCAATGGTTCCATTGGCCCCAGTTCCGGCTCGGACCCATTTTCAGATTGCTCCGCTTCCACCCCCTTCTTTGGACGCCCCCTCCTCCTCTTGGGTTCCTTTTTAGCCTCTGCCAACACCGCAGACTCTTCCCATGCCAGTGGGCTAACCCCAAGGGATTCAGAGTTCGGCATATTCTCGGGCCCCTTATCGGAAATTCGTGGGGTACTGCTGCACAATGGTCCCCGGCTCTCGGTTGAGTTCTCCGGCACCGATGGCTTTGGTCCTGGGACACTCGTTTTTTTGGTCCTACTCGGAGTCCGCTTATTCAACTTGGAGCCTCGGTTTTGAGTCCCCACGTAGTTGCTCATAAAGTCGAACTGTGTAGGATCCATGGTGTGGCACCAACTCATTTGGAGTGGTTTTTGGCCTCGCTTCGAGCGCCGAATGCCGGCTACAACGAAATAATGTTAATATTAAGTTTTAATTAAGTCGTTGTTAAAATATACTCACAGGTATCGTGGTCCTGATCCTCCGTCTCCACTGGAATTTTGGAAAGCTTCAATTTGTCTACCTCACTTTTAGATTTCTTCGATCTCGCACGTGGTGCTCGCATTAATGGTTTCTTAAACACCACGTCGTCATTTGTTACTTCCGGCGTGGGAATCATTGCCTTTGATTGACTGCGCTGCAGTGCCTCCAAAGCAGCACGACTTGTGCTGGGCACGTCGTCGGCTAAGGAAGCCTCCAGAGAAGTTTGATTTCTGCCGGGCACATCACCGGGGTCAAGAGGAGGTGTTGGAGTGGATACACGCAATGATTCCATGCGATCGGATTTCTCGATAACATCTTCCTCTCGAGTACTTGAAGTCTTGCTTATTACAATGTTATTATGACTTTTATTTTTGCTAGACGAAGTCTCAAGGTTTCGGGTGACCCTTTTTTCCGAAGTCGATCCGGTTTTTTTGTCATTCGGATCTTTAATACACTCTAATGTATGTGGGACTTCTTCTTTCTTTCTCCCCCCTCTTTTGAGCTTCTTTGCTAGTGCGTTGCGTATTTATTTCTTCCGGTTCCTGATTTTCGTGATCATCATTCATGTCGTACACAATGCTATCATTATACTCCATTGGAGGCGGAAGCATTTCGCTCTCCCTTGCCTTTTTTTAAAGGTCTTTGAGCTCTGAGATTTCTTTTCATTTCTGTGCGATCTTCTTGGTTTTCCATCATCGCTGTCGTCTTTTTCGTCTTCAGGTGGCTCCGGTGGTTCATTATATTCAAACGGGAGTGGAACCATTTCGATCTTATCGGTATTTGGATCGATCCGATTGGACAGCTGAGGTTTTTTGCCACTTTTCTGCGACCTTCTTTGTTGCTCATTTGCACGATCCAATTTCTTGATTCTTTCGAACTCCGTTTCTTCAATATACTCCATAGGAGGTGGCACCAATTGGTTATCCTTTTTCTTGACTCTGCTACGGGACATTATTGGCTGCTCATCGTCTTCGTTCTGGAGATCGGGCTCCGGTGGTGATGTTGGTGTACATTCTACAAACTGTAGAGGTGGAGGAGCGATCTCAGTTGTGTTTCTTTCCGGCTCATCGTGGAATTCTGGTGGCGCCGGCATCACATGGTCGAAATCGAATTTGTTGCTGCGGTGCAAGTGCTGCAGTGATTGTGAAAAGCGCAGGGAAGCTGGCGGTGGCGGAACAATTTGAATGCTTCTGCTTAACCTGGGAAGCTTTACCGGCGATGAGGAAAAATGGTCTTCATCAACAGAGTCCCCCTTTGTGTAAAGGCTGCGTTTGCCTTCCTGTGATAGCTTTCGCCGAGCCTCAATGGTGGTGGAAAGTCCCAAATAGTTCTTCAGCTCATTTGTCTGAAACACGCAATGATTATTATTAATGATGGTGACAGGGTGGTAATGTTAATACATATATTTCCAATAATTACTAACCATTGGAAGATCCCTTCGCTTAGAGCGCGATTTGCGCTGCGTCCGTTCTTTGCTTCCACGTCGACGGCTTGACCTTCGCTGAACCGGCTCCCACGTATCGGAATCCTCGGAGTCTCCAGAGGATGGTTTTCCAGGTAAGCCGTCGACCTCGTCCATTAGTTTTCTTCGCTGCAGCTCGCGCTGTATCTCTTCCTCTAGGATAATTTTCTGCTTCGAAGAGCGCTTGCGATGCCCATTTAAAGGATATACCTCGTTCAACGAGTTGCGCTTGCGGAGATCCAAAATCTCGTAGTTACTCATGCGGGTCAGCTCGATGGCAAACTGCTCCCCATTAATGGGGGCGCTGGGAGCCTTGTTTAGTGGTATAGTCGTCATACGAGTCATCGTTTTCTTGGCGTTGACCGAACGGTGGAGGTCAAGCAGGCGCATGGAACTCTCCTGGGCTTCGGCAGTAACTCTATTCCGATTATTATTGCGCAGGCGGCGCTGACGTGTTGTGTTCCCCCCAGGCGGAGCAAGATTCAGTGCCACCGTGCTGGTCTGCTCATCGCTCTCGTCATCGGTCATTATTGCATTCAGATTTTCTTCGACCCGCGAGATTTGGCCCCTGGACTCGGGAGGAGAAGCAGGAGCTTTCAGTTCAGAAGATGTTGGAGCTTTCAGTTCAGAAGATGTTGGAGCTTTCAGTTCAGAAGATGTTGGAGCTTGTATCGTGGCAGCTTGTGATGAAGGAACAGATTCCAGTTGAACCGAATCCCTCCTTACACTCTTATTTGGACTTTGTGTGTTTATTACAACAATGGGGCAGCTGGCAGTTCGCGACAGAGTTTGCACCAGCTCTCCCAGATCCTGAGGCTGTGTTTCCGGCACCACAAACTCCGGCTGCGGCTGCGATTGCCAGGCGGGTTCGTGGCTTGGCCGTTCTGGAGTGTTAGGTACTACAACTTCTTGGTTGATCCGCTTCATCTTTACCACTGGCTGCTTGACGGGTATATAACTGTTGCGCTGTGAAGGCGACAGCAATAACTGACCGGGTGCCGGGCCTCTTTCCATAGTGTATGTGCGTCGTGCGCCCGACCCAGATGGTGAACTCGGTGTTCCGGGACGCGAGTAAGGCGCTCGCCCAGTATAGTCCAGTTGCAGCACATTACTGTGAAAGGAGTTCCGCCGCTCCATGCAGAGTTCTGCGATTTCAGCGGCCGGCGAGGAAGTCTTGGCAGGAGACATGACTTCCGGCCGTACCGATTTCTCTTCTCGTGTTTCCGGGTTTTTAGCCTTTTCTTCTACATTCTGTGCCAGTTCCTCGACTGGGCTTTGAACTGCTGTCTCCTTTGGTTTCTCTGCGCAAGGTGTGCTGCTTATTTTCGGCACCTTTAATAGTACATGTGTTAACGTAGAGTATTCAAATGGTTGCAGTTATAAGACTTACAAAGTTTTCGGGACTGGAGAAGCTGCGGGTCACATTGACTGCATCGTTGAATTCTGGAAGCAGTTGCCGTCCGCAGCTTCGGGAGCGCCGGCGGATAGCATGGCGGCGCAGTTTGTCAGCGCTCGGAACATTTCCGCTGCGACGCAGGGAACGCCTATGGTTAGGCGACAGGGTGGGCGATGTTAGTGGTGGGCGGTTCTCATTGGATTCCTGGTCCACAGGCGGCTTATTAGATTGTGCGGAGGTGGAACTGGTCGGGCTGGTAAGCTTCTGCAGGGGCTGCGCTTCTGGTGCCCTCTGCTTGGGTTTCTTGACAAGCGGAACATCAAAGTCCAGGTTAAGGTCCAGCTTAAAGTTTCCAAAAAGATTGTCGTTCTGGGGCGGCTTGTTCTCCGCCAGCTTGCGCAGCATAAAGGCGGCCAGGCGCTCTTTATCCTTCACCGGCTGGCTGAGGATGTCTTCTAGCTCCAGAGTGTCGTCATTCTGGGGCTTCGACCTAAAAAATATTTGGTGTTGGTAAGGTCTTTCCTATAATTCGGTACCGAATCCAACTCAGAAAGCTTACATCTTTGCACTGTACGGTAAAAAAAAAGAACTTGACGATAATCGTAACACAAACTACTATTCTTAAACACAACTTAATTCTCTAATTTTTCGCAACATATATTAAATTAAACAAAAGACGCGACGCTATTAAAATGGTGTTGCCAGAGACGCGCCTTGTTGTGGCGCTGCCAGATCATTGGAATGTATGGGGATGTTTGCCGACCAGAAACGAGCTGAAAATAGCTAAACCTTTTTCTGGTCACACTTTAGCCGGCGGGATGCATTTTGTCAACAAACCAAAATTATGGAGGAAACTAAAATAACAGATCTAATAGACATTAGAGCTCCCGACTTGACTTTTGCACAGCTCAAGGCTGTTCTTAAGCACTTGCGTCCTCTACAGCGCTACAGTTTTTGCGTGGAGGCTTGTGAGGAGCGCAATGTGGATAAGGTGGGTAGTAGATATTTCTTATGGTCTGGAATAACGCTCCCGTCTTTTTTAAAAAGTTGTACGCGGGTTTTCTGAAGATGCTGATAGGAAATCTCAGCATTGAGGAGGTGGTGGCCCTCTACTCCGCAACAATTGGCATGTTCCTGCTGGAGGAGAGCGAGTTCGAAACACCAAGTTACCGACGGTTGGAGCTTCTTAACGCGGCCTTCGCATTTTCGGATACCCTAAAGCCAACGATGGTACATTATGCAACCGTGGAGATACTCGAAAGCTTAAAAATAAGCAGTAGCGACGAGGAGCAACACTTTATCTACCTTTTAGAGACGATCCCGCATATTGTTGTGGCCAGCGATACCGGCAAGATGATATCCCTCGGACTGCTTCGCACTATCATAGCCAAACTTTCCGGCTGTCAAATCATCCTGCATATTTATCGCACTGTTAGTCAGCGAATTTAAATTAAATCTTGGCTAATTGACGCTCATTTCAGCTGTGGGAAGCCTGGGAGATGATAAAACAAGTTAGCCAGAATGCAATCCTGCTAGACTGGTCGCTGCGAAGGACGTTCATCCTGTTTAAGGCCTTCGCCATGCTCACAGCCACCGCTGCCCTAAACTCCGGTAACCAAGAACTTAAGCAGGCCGGTTATAGGGGCTTTAATATGCCCCCCGAAGTGACTGAAATTTCAGACTGGTTCAAAACCCTGAGGGATCGGCTTGAAGAAAAGCACAAGGAGCTCAAATGCAGGGAAGGGCTAATGGTAAGCCTGAGAAAAAAGGATACTTCTCTGGTGGTCAAAGAAACAATGGCATCTTGTGTATATTTAAAATTACTTTCAGTTGGTGCGGTTTGTGGACCAAAACATCCTCGCTTACCTCACAGAAACCGGCAACGAGTCCACCTCCGAAGTGGGAAACGAGGCCAATGCCGAAGCGGGGAACGAGACCACCTTATAGGTTATAGTAGCATGTTATTTATTAAAGTTTAATATAGATATTCGAATGTTTTAGTTAGCACATAAAGCCCAGGCTGAAATTGAAGCGCGGGCTCACTTAAACTTCTTTCCGCCCTTCTTCGCCGCAGCGGCGTCTACGGTGGACACCTGGACGGAGTAATACTTTGAGGAGATCCTATTCAGGAAGTAGAGACCCACCAGGGAGAAAAGGACACTAGTTGTGGCACAGACGCGATGCACAATTCCTGCGGCGGCCACCGTAAGTGAGAGGCAGAAGAGAATTTCCGGTAGCAGCTTCGCCTGGAAGTCCGGGCCGAAGACGACCATCTCGGTGTTCGAGATGCACGTTAGGCTTAGGATAAACAGCCAGGAGAAGAGGTATCCGCCAAATAGAACCTTAAGCTGCGAGTCGTTGAACCAGTCGGCGCAGAAACGCAATGTGGCGAACAGGACCAGGCTTAGGAGACCCGAGATGACGGAGGACACCAGTGTGCTTTTGCTACTCATCGCGGCGGCTGCAAAGGTTCGGGTTTTGGTTTTTGTTGGCCTAAAATTTCACGCAGTTGCTTACACATATTTTTTTTTTTTTTTTGTATATTAGGTTACTTCCTGTCCGTTAGGTGGAAGATTTACACATATTTTTCAGTTTCACCAGCCGGCGTCTTTGTTGTACGTGTAAAACTGTTGTCATTCACGGGGCAACTTATAGTTTTTTAGGGTAGCCAAGTGTTTTTTTTTTCAAGTATGATATGTTAATGTTATGTTAATACGGTTGACACCGAAACAAAAAAAGTGAAAGAACAAAATAAATAATTTTAATATTTAATTCTAAAACTAAAAAACGGTATGATAGTGAAATAAATTCTGTTAAACATATTTTGAATTGGGATATCGATACTTATATCCGATATGCTAGTCTGTGCAGGCTTGGCAACCCGGCGCAGCTCGTGGTGAATGGTCAGCGGAACCATAACATTGTAATCAAGCCCAATTTTTAGAAATTGTAAATAAAAAACGCCCTCAACATGTCCTCGCTACTGCAATTGACCACCAGGGCCATCCGAAGTTCCGTAACACAAGTGCGTAGCGTGGCCACCACAACGCCCAGACAAATTAAAGAAAGTAAGTTTCACTGTTTCATTGTGGGCTGTTTCATAACCCCTTAAACTGAATCCCCTCTCAGTTCAGGAAAAGCAGGAGAACAATGTGAAGATCTTTGAGGGCGTCAACGTAGAGTCACCGAGGGCTAACCTGATGCTCAAGTCCGCCTGCGAAAGCAAGTTTTGCCCGGAGTGCACCTTGGGTCTGGACATTAAGCACACAGACGTCCTTATCCTATCGCAGTACGTCAGGTCCGATGGCTGCATGTTGCCGCGCAGGATCACTGGGCTGTGCCACCGTCAACAGAAGAAGATGGGCACCTTGGTCACCATGGCCCAAAAGGCGGGACTGATGCCCAATCTTGCGCCCGAGTGGAGCAAAAAGGACCCCAAGAAACGTTTCGGCTGGCGCAAGTTCAACAAGTACTTTCTGGAGTCCACGATTAAATACTAGTGTTAAATGCAATGAATGTGTTAATAGAGGTGTTGATTTTTGAATTTAATTCTTTTTTCAATCTTGAGTTGTAGGCTGACAGACTAGTTTGTAATCATTATTTTCAATCGAATGTCTTAAAATATTGTGTTGAATTTTTTGCCTAATATTCTTCGATTGGGATGGTGTATTCGCTAACTTTTAAAATAACATTAAGCAGAGACATCAACCATGGCTTTTTTGGCTTGAGAAAGTGTTTTTTTGAAGGGTTGGAAAACACCGAAAGTGTCAACTATTTTTAAAATTTTTTACGGCGTCTATTAAACTGCAAAGATTGCAATATGAGTTTCTTGAGCAACAACAGCACGGTTCATGTGGAACTCCGAATCAGGAGCAATGGGTAAGTAAGCACTGCCGTTGGTGTGAAGTTTTAAACAAGTGATGCCTTTCAGGAGCGCTATGGTAGGTAAATCCACCTACGAGGCGGCTTTGCGTGACTATCTGCTGTACAGAGATGTGCAGACCAATACGGCTTTTCTGCCAGATTTGCCTGAGGAAGCTTGTGCAGACCTGCAGAGCGTACTCGTGGAGCACGACAATGGCGAAAGAAAGCCTTTGGAGGAGACCGGAAACAGATTCCGCTTTTACTTCTACAAAACTTTAAGCCCAAATCAAGGTGGGCTATCAATCTTCAGAGCAGGCGGCGAAGGGATTTCAGATGAAGTCGAAAGCGTCGAGGCGGGCAGTCACATTCTTCTGCCCGCCAGCCAGTTTGTGGGCCTTTGGGAGAGCCTGATCTACGAGAAGGGACTTAAGGAGAAGGTGAGCGGTGCAAAGATTGTGCTAGAACCCCACATTAGCTAACACGGTATCTTACCTTTCAGCTGTTGAAGTTCGCTCTGTCGGCACTGACGTTCTCACAACACCGCCTGGACACTAACGTGATCGCCTGCAACCGCCTGCTCCTGCTCCACGGGCCGCCGGGAACGGGAAAGACAAGTCTCTGCAGGGCTCTGGCCCAGAAGTTGGCCATCCGAACCCAGGGGCACTACCGCTTCACCCACATGGTGGAGATCAACAGCCACAGCCTGTTCTCAAAGTGGTTCTCCGAGAGCGGCAAGCTGGTGGCGAGCCTTTTTACCAAAATCGGGGAGTTAGTGGCGGACAGCCACAACCTGGTCATCGTGCTAATCGACGAGGTGGAATCACTGGCCTACGCCAGGAGCGCTATGTCGAGCAACGAACCAAGGGATGCCTTGCGCGTGGTAAACGCCGTGCTCACCAAGCTAGATGCCTTCCGGAACTGCCCAAATGTTCTCATCCTAGCCACCTCCAATCTGGCGCAGAGCATCGACCTGGCCTTCCTGGATCGCGCTGATATCCGGCAGTACATTGGGTACCCGGACCTGTCCGCCATTCGAGCCATTTACAAGACCATGCTGGGCGAGCTCATAACGGCGGGAGTTCTTCAGAGCGAGGCCTTGGAGGCTGAGGATGCTGAGGAAGGTTTGCTGACCAAATTGGCCGAGATGAGTGTCGGGCTAAGTGGTCGCACGCTGCGCAAGTTGCCCCTTTTGGCTCACGTTCAGTACGCCAGTAGCAATCTCTTCGAGGTGGATGAAAAGATTAGTCTGGCCGACTTTCTCGACTCCATTATGATGGCCTTGGAGCAACATTTGGAGGAGAAGCGCCTGCTGGAACTGGATTCCCTAGAGAAGCTCTAAAGGCAGGAGCAAAAAGTACAGCCACAAAAAAGAGTTCTCTATGTCTATCAAATACGAATCTTTGTTAACTTTTCTATTTTTTATAATAAACAATCCGAGGCACAGGACCAATCTCCACTCTGTTTGCTGCCTCGTTTCATTTGCACACGATACAGAGATTTTTCCATTTCTTTATCCGGCTTTTGATGTGAAAATCAAGCGTGAAATCTTGTTATTTGCTTGCAAGCTCCTACACGAACTGCCCTTCGTACCCCCCGAATGGACATGCACGGACATCGGACCCTACGCAGTCTCAGCACTTTTGCCTTGCTTGTCCTTCACTTTTGAGTGCAGGAGGACCCTCAAGTTCGGCACACATCGAAGCTATCCAGTGGTGGCTCTGTAATGGAGGGACTGGCGGAGTTGGGGGGCCGGGGACACCAAGTTATTGCAGGTCCAAGTGACCACTAATCAAATTTTTTGACGATTTGATTCTGTGTTGATGCTGCCTGTTGATCCGTATCATCCGTTTGAAAGACACTCAGTCAATGGCAATCGTTGCATTAGCTTAGTGGGGATACGAATGGGAATCCAGCGGAGAGCGCAAGTCTCTTGGTCAGATTGAATTTCCGCATAGGATAAATAGGAGCCATTTGTTATGCATATTGAACACATTATTTGGCTGAAGCAAGTATACAAAGCTTAAAGCCGCCACGTTTTATGGGATGTAGTGTTTGGAAGGCCTTAATTAAATCAGGACAAATACGCTCATTGCATTTGCACAATGGAGTGGAGGGGTCACGGGGGACAGGTGGAGGCAGTAAACCGAAAGACAGTAAAAACACAGAAGTAGGGGCGCCATCGAATTATGTGAACGGATAGCTGCAAGGCTAATAAAATGTAGATGTGTACTCCGGTGTGGGGGTGCGCGATAAAATAGATTCCTGTTGATGAAAATGTGATGCCATGCTCATGTGTGATTCCGCCCATTGTCCTCCTGCCGGGGGATATAAAATATACGTTGTTTATTAGGCATACGGTTGGGAAATCGCATTGGTATCTAAATGGTGTTCAGCCAAAGCGAACCTAAGGAGAAATGTTTTATATTAAAGGGGAAAAGTTAAGAATAAGCTTTTTCTTTAATGCAATAGGAATCAATCACTTTCATAATATCGCTTGGTTTTTTTAACGACTCAAAGGTGAAGAGAAGTTCGCATTCAAATGGGATATTGTTGATTTTTGCATTTCATGGCAGAACGCGTTGTTTGTCCGCTGCAGTCGTGAGCTATTCAACTATTATTTATTGTTATAAGGTTGTTCCAGCAGCAAGGACTACGTTACCAGCTCCAAAAGAGCTTTGAATGCGGAATCCAGTAGTTAAACAAGAACCCGTCGCCTGCTGGTTTTGTCTGTGCAAACAATCGAGCACACTTACAAAGCAGTTAAACAATACAAAAAATATTTCTATTTAAGTTTGCTTAGATTCGGATGGTATAATGACAGCATATGAATACGATTAAAAGCAGGTCATATCTTATTAACTATCTGTTTATAACAGAACTGGGCTTTCAATAAATAAATAGATATTCAATGCTTTTCGGTCGGTCCGATGTAGCAACCTTTTGGATCCCGATTTCCCGACCCGACCGGAAGTGCCTGCTCCGCACACCCATGCAGATGCATTCAGAGCCGAACCATTGATGGTTACGTTTATTTATGATTTCCTTGCTCTCTCTGTGTTTCTGTGTATGTGTGTGTGTGTGTGTGTGTGAAGCCTGTAAGCAGCATTTTGCAATTGCATTTCAGCAATATGGAAAATTTTGCTCCTAACTACGAATTCCCATTGTTATTCAATGCGACTGCTGCCAATATTGTTGTTGCTCCTGTTTTTGTTGCTGGGAAGCAATTGTTTCTTGTTTATTGTTTGGATTTGTAAGCTTACCGTTTTGCGGCGCCAAGAAATTTAAACTTTCCATCTGAGCTACAATAAAGGCTTTAATATTGGCCCAAGCTCTTTGTAAAATGGGATAACTAAAAACGGAAGCATTGCTTATTTACATTTCCACAAAGGATCTGAACTTTCAATGAGATACTAAATTAGAAATTGTTTTAGATCTGGATTAATATTTCATTGGGTAGAAATTGCTATTTGTAAAGCAATTAACTCTGGGCAAACTATAAGATTCCAATTTGCTCCGTTAACGAAAATATAATCAATTTCTCTTAAATTTTAAGTTAAATTTTAGATCAAATTAAATTTTTGCGGGGCGCCAATGAATTCGATTTCGCGAAGCGCTTTACCCAAAATCACTGCCCCCATTTGGCCATACTTCTTTGCCCACAAAGTGCAGCCGCTGCAAGATTATTCGCGGGTCAAGGAAACTTGAAATTGTTTTGTTATTGAAAAAGGGTCGTTAATTACAAATTTTGGCAAAGAATTCTCGTCAGAAACTTTCGGAGAAATGTGGCCAAAAGGCCGCACAACATAAGAAAAGGGATAGCAACGAAATATTCTGAAATTTAATATAAGTAGCCACCGACACGCGGTTTTATATTTTAAAGTTATATTTACCAGCATAAGTTGCTAGCGATTCGGAAAATGGATTGTCAACAATCTCGATTTTATCAGCTTAAAACCAAGTAGATCCAAGATCCATAAACAAACAGACATAAGAAAATTGCACTACACAATAAACAATATTGGGGTTTTTCTGTTTTAGTTAATAAATTATAAGAATTAAAAATAAAATGTGTCGTAAACTAATACTTTATATCACACATTTGACCAATCCAAGTAAGTTATAACACATAAGCTTAGAAGCTTTCCAAAATCCAGTTTTAGATATTGACTAAATGTTACGGATATAAAACTGGGAACTAGTTAAATTCGCGTTCGTATTTCTACGGCGACGCTTGTGTGTGTGTTATTTATGCTTAGAACGTGACTGGAAATATGAAATGCAGCAAATGTGTTTACTTAAATGAAGTGAGTGAAAATTGACAAATACACACAAAGCAAACCCACAAGACGACTAAAGTGCACTGTTGGGGCGGCTGGAACAGGAGGCGGGGACGGGTCACATTCGTGCAGGGAGATTACGGCGCATGAGAAAAACGCCAAAAATGGCAGTGACGCTAATCCCTTGCCCGGCGCAACTATCAGACACACGGTTCCACAAGTACAGTAGACTCTTGTGAGATCAGATTCTTTAAAATCTGCCATCAAATCGCCCACACTGAACTACCAGAGCCTGATGACTTGCCAAGAGGTGTCCCAATACTGCACACCGATTCGATTTCTACCGTTTCCAAACATAACATACCTCCTAATAAATGTGATATATTTCCCTAACGAACTGCGTTTAAATTTTTCATTCTGCTGATGGTCAATATTTTCACCCCTGTTCATGTCAGAATTTTCCAAATTTCCGATATTTTGCCAATAGGAGACCTAGCTCTAGAGGTCCCGCAACCCATAACTTGGCCAATTTTAGTCAGATTCCAAAGTGACATACCTCTAAACGTTTGTAATCGTATCCTCGGTAAAACTGCATTTAAAATTTTCCATTTTTGTCCCCTGTCCATGTCAGATCTTTTAAAGTTTTTCGATGTTTTTCCGACAGGAGAGTCCTTATTTTCGAGGCCCATATACATAAGTTATAACTTTTTCGGAGAATTTTTCGACCCTTTTTTGTAGAGGGGAATGATTTAATTTAGTTTTAATGGATTCTGTGTTTCGAACTGGGAGGTTCGACTGTAGAAGCCAATTGAACCAACACACACTGCGCGGAAATATGTCAAATTCAATAACAGCCAAAGTGACGTGCTTCCTGATCCGCGCCCCTTGAAGCCCCTTGTCCAGGATAAATCTGACGAAGAAGAAGGAGCAGCAACTATGGCGCCAAACTCTGGACAATGGTAGCCAACTCCAATCCCTTCGCCCACTGCTGCCCTGCTGCCCTGCAGCATCCCCATTCCAATGGCCTTATAAAAATGTACGATTTTTCTTCATTTGATGAAACGAAATACAATTTCTCAACGAGCGACGCAACTGAACGCAAAAAAGTTGGTCGCAATTGCAATTTTCTTGCCAAATCAGCGCACGCTGCTTGGTATATTGACATTTTTAAAAGCCAATATTTCTTCGACTTCCAGACCCGATGGGTCTTCTTTTCGCTGAAAGGCAACAAACACAAAGTACGTTCAAAGTTGGATGCACGAATTAATTTATTTGACTTCTGCAATGTATAAATATAAATTGAGTAAGGCCCACACAAACAGTTCGGCAATGAGAACTGGAACAAACAAAAGTTTCTGCTTTAATACTTAAAAAGCACAGGATAGGTTTTAGTTCAGTTTCATGCTTATTCTTATTAGATATATAGCCTGTTTCGTGGGCCAGTGGTCACCTGCGTTGCCTACTAATTAACCGGGGCCTTTGGGTTATTCCACCTCTATTCTTACCGCCATTTGTGTCGCTGCAATTACACTGATTAATGGCGGTTTGGCACCCACTAAGAATGCCTGCGGTTTGCCACCCACTTAGTTCCCCTGCTCAACTATTTTGCCGCAAAGGAGACTGAGGAACCAGTGAACTGGGAATGACAGTCGAAGGAAAACTTTTCACTCGCCCAACTTTGGCAGGCGAAAACTGCAAACGCAAATGAAATTAGTCGAAACTATTTGGGCATTTCCGTGGCAATGAGCCGGCCATCCACTCCATGCCAATTTCCATAGGCTTCGACATTCGCATCCTCAACCGATTTTATATTCACACTGCTGGCAAAGTCAAGTTCGTGACGCGCGTTATTTCTAATTATGTTCGGGAGGGTCCAAGAGGCCACGCCTAAGCTCTACACTGGGAAAACTATGGTTACCTTTGATTTATAAAACATTTTACACAACTAAATAATATTTCGTAAAGTGATTTTGTTTTGAAGAACACTCTAACGGATTAATCATGGAATATTTTAAACATTTTAGGTAAATAATTTGGTATTTTGAGCCAACTGTTTTCTCTGTTTAGATGGCACCCCATCCAGACGGGATCAATTTGATTTCCATTTGGTCGTGGGCCGACTTCTTTTCCTTGCTCGTTTTTAGTAATTTTAATTGAAAAAATTCTTCAATTTTGCCATCCATCTGACTGGCAGGTTGGCCCTGGCCCGCTCACATCTATCAGCCGACAGCCGTAGAAATGTAATTAGCCTGGCCGAAACTCCCCCTCCCCCCTCCGCAAATCCACCGACTGTTGTCTGTTTGTGTCAACTTTTCAATTAAAGATTCATAAAAAATGCAATTTGCCAGCCACTTGGCTGGGCGGAAAGAAATTTCGAAATTACTTTTAAGTGCTGCATAAGGTCAGGCGCCGTGCCTAAATGGCTATTACGCGATTGATTAGAGACACAGGGATGGGCGCTGAAACCAACTTTGAATGGCCTGTAGTAACTCTTAGGAGTGCTTGAAGTAAAAGGTAGTAGGTAGTTATTTCTCTATAGATTTCTTTTGAAATACTAAGTATTAAATACAATTTTATAAAGATTTACTACTGATACTATTTTGGTTTTCATCTTCGAAAGCAAAGCAAGTTGAAGCTCATGTGGGATTGGGAGATATATAATTAATTTGGACACGAAATCGGTTGTGCCAGGTGGATAAAGAGTTGGGGTCGCTGATTCTAAGAGCAGCAACGCTTTGTCCTGCATTCGGCATTGGCCCTTTGTGCAAACGAAATGGCGATAATTAATCATTGCTGCTGCGGTTAGTTGACCGCTCTTCGATTTGTTCCGTGACCTGAGATTCGCGCTAATCATTTGGGCAACTACTTTAATTAAAATCCGCTACTCTGTGTGGCAACTGGCGTAAGTTATTGGCTCGCGATGATTTGCCCCTTTTGTCCACACAATGCCACTGCCACATGATGTTGGCTGTTAAAATGTGGCGGTAATTAGAAAAGGCATCCACTTCAGGTGCTATACATTGTGCGCAGGAGGGCGAAGAATTTGTAGGAGAGTTGCAATAGCTGCAGGGATCAAAGTAGTGGAGTTGTAGTTACAGTACAATAGAGAGGTCATTTTAACTTACATCGCTCACTGTGACCAGTGACACATTTAGGAACATTGTGGCCTTCAGGCGACTCGGTTGCTGGGCTCTCTTGACAATCAGGATTAGCATTTTGCGGTAGCGCAGATCTGCATTGAACCAGTCGTGGTTGTAGACCGCCTGACCAATATGCTCACTCTGAAATAAGATTCAGATTAACTTTTCTAAATACATAAATGTAAAGTTAACAACACCTGATCCTAACTTACAGCATCGATTAAACGTTGGGCATGGGTGGCGAGCATGAAGACCTGCACCATGGAGCAGAAGATGAAGAGGATGAGCATCACCAGGCTGTCAATCTTGCCGCCAACGGTCATCTGGAACCCCACGAAGCACATGACGAAGGCGGAGGACCCGAAGTTGCACAGCAGCGGGACTCCGAAGATCTCGCTGATGTCCTGGGAGAGGAGCAGCAGCCTTTGGTGGTAGGCCACCGCCGCCTGGAGGAACTCCAAGTCCCGCTGAGGTGTAACCAATCCCGCCACATGCTCCTCGATGTGCTTGGAAAGGCGCAGGAAGTGCATCACCAGCAGGGTAACCAGGGCGCACATCAACATGTCGGCCGCCAGTTGGCCAGAAAAGCACGCCTGCCCACCCAAATTCTGGGAGATGTACATCAGGTGGTAGCTGAGTCCAGTACTCCAATCCCAGGGAACCCAGCAGTAGTACGGGAGCATCCTCTTGAACTTCCGCACTCCCAGCCAGAAGTCACAGACCAAGTAGTAGACGGCCCAGTAGAGGTTGTAGGTCCAGAGCAGCACCATGTGCAACCCGAAGTAGAAGACGCTATAGCGACTGTATCCATTGAGGTGATGCTTCATATTATAAGGCTCCTGTTGATCCAACCGTTCCGGGTGCAGTTTCTCCAGTTCGCTGACCACCTGGGTGAGACGGCTCCTCTGCCGCCAGATGTGGCAGATCTTGAGGTCCCCGACGACCACGAATCCGATGAACGACAGGTTCATGGTGGCCTCCAGGAAGTTGCTGCCACTGCCGATCGCCAGGAACACGTAGATCACTTCCGAGAGGAGCACCGCATTCAGGTTCACCATTTGGGCAACGAAGCACGAGTGCAGCAGAAGCTCCCTCCGCTGGCCACTGTCCTTGCGATCGTAGGCCAGCATTCCGATCGACAGGTAGAACATGTTCGCGTACTTCAGGAAGCTCTTCAGCGGAATGGGTTCCTGATTTTCCTGCTCTTGAAAAGCTTGGGGTTTCTTCTGCGCCGCCATGTTGTAATTGTCCAGTTTTCCGCTCCGCCAGTCCCATTTATATCCCAAAATTATTGCCGGAACGCCTTAACGTCGATGATTTAATAATTTACTATTGCCGCACACACTGGACAATTGTCACGCCCACTTGATTAGCATGTACACGGCGAGCATCTCTCAATTAGGGCGTTGTGAACCCGCCAGTTGGTCGTCCTGGGGCGTGGTTAATTGCGCCTAAGTCGAAATCGATGACTCCACGATTAAGTGGTTCCCAGCTCCTCGCAAATGCCTGCGATTAGTGCGACCCCGAGTGAGCATTCGATTGGACAAATGACTGTACATTAAGATGGCCCCACTTGCTCACCAAAAAGGATATTGTTGTTTGGCTCCCGCAATCGGAATTGATAGGTATGGCTTCTTAAAATGCGATTTGTGAGAAACAATTAAAGTTTATTCAAAGTTTCAAATGTGATAAAGAGTATAGTGAGAATAATAAACTTTCTATTCATGTCTACGAAATATATTTAATAATCAAATCTTGTGGAATAAAATACATATTCTGTGATATTATATCATCGTTTACTTTCGTTGTTATACAATTTTTTTACAGATTTGTTACAATTATATAACGCGTTTTCCTACTTCTGTTATTTGTCTTCTTTATTTTCAAAGAAGATTTGCTGCTCTTGAGCATTCATTCTTGTTGTCTTGCTTTCTGCTCTGATATCTCAAAGTATTTGGAGATCCATTTATGTCTTTTCTTTATGGCTTGCATGGCTTTTGTTTCGTCCTTGTTTTGCTCCTTGACACACTTGCCAGGACGAAGGAGTGTCAGTGACACGAATCCTTGGTTTTTGCCTATTTCCTGTTTACACACATCGAGTTGGCCGACGAGATGGTGGCTTGCGATACATTCGGATTCCCATTTCTTCTGGCCAGATGACACCCAGTTTATGTCTGGATCAACTGTTTTGCTTGCATTTGCTTTGGGTAATGCAAAAGGCAGCTCTTGCATTTCTTTCCCCGGATGTTTATTCGCTCGTTTGTTCATAGCAAAAAAGGCTGGAATGTTGCAATTAAATTCGATTCAGGGAGGCCAAAGCTGACATGCCAACAAACTCTTTCTTCATCCCGCTTATGATTCTGATTCTGATTCTGATCCAGAATCCAACTCCGACTAACTGACCTCATTTGCGTATCGCATTCCTAATGAAATTTACATGACTATTTCGCCGCTGCAATGTTAATGAAGAGCATTTATTCACAGATGCCACTGTGTGGGTGCTCTCCATATGTGTGTGTGTGTATGTGTGTGTCTGCATATTGCCACATGAGATTTATTCTCAAATGCAATTAGCATTTTAAATTTGTCTCATGCAGCGCACAATTTTTCACTCCTTAATGGCATTTGTAATGTTAAACCGAAATTAATTTAATAAATTGTTGTTGGCGCCCTCACTGTCTGTCAGCGTTATGTAATTTTAATGCATTTCTATTTGCCACTTAAAGTTTTTGCGGTAACATTGCTGGTCCTGTTTTTGCTGGAAATGTTTAACGATTTGTGCGTAGGAAAAGCCATTGTAAAGAGTTATATTTACAACTGGTTTTATTGATTTTAATTATTTCATTTTAGTCATTTTCAACAGTCGCATAAAAACGTTAATGAAGAAAGTTATTTTATTGAATGTAGCTTAACTAGACAAACAGTGAACATTATTTGTGGGAATTATCTTTAACGAGAAAAAATGTTAATTTGCAGTTTTTAATATTAAATTGAAGTGATTCTGTATAAAGGCCATTTGCTGTGGACTATCTTTTTGGTTTCAGGTGTTTAGGCCACATATATTTCTATTTACACAAAATAAGCTAAAATAACACACTTGAAAATACACCTTATGAATATGTGCTTAATTTTTGGCAAACGTTGGCTTACTTTTCAAGGAGACAGCTTTCGCTTTTCGGCAGCCCGTTTTCCAGCTAATACTTATGCAGATTAATCTGCATACATATAGCACATGCTATATAGCACATATAGCATATGCCTCAGCGCCCCTTGGCTGTGGAACAAGGTCCTTGAGTTTCCGTTTGCATTTTGGGGCCGAACCCTTTGGACGGGCTTATCTGCAGCGGGGGCTAGAGACAAAAAGGGGTCGGTGTGCCTATTTTCCCCTCTCTTCCCTTTTGCCCCACACCCCTGTAAACATAGCAATTATGTGTATATGTTACTTGCATACGATGTATACAGTTGCGGTCTGGGAAATAAGAGCACATACTTCTTCGTTCCTCAAACCAACTAACAACTATCTACAAATTTACAAAAATCGTTTTCCCTTTAAAAAGGCTTTTCTTTAAGGCTATACAATAGTTTGAACTTAAACTCATTTTTAGTAGTTCTATTACTTTGTCCTCAAATGTATTTGCACACACATTGAGTATAAACATTTTCATTTATTTTCGGTTGTGTTTGTTGGAAGTTCTCGTCGTTGGTTAGTTTGTTGCAATGTTGCATATTATCAAAAACATTTGTAGCAGGAAAACAGAGCGTCGGATGAGTTTGAGTTGGTCGAAGGGCTGCATTTTTTTGTTGGGGGGAAACCAGGGGAGTTTCTATGTGTATATTTTGGCTTCTGGCGTTTTTGAATGTTTGCCAAATGTTGTTGGCTTTGGCGTAATTGTTACACCAACACTGAAATGTGCAATGATAAGGCCGCGATGTGTTTTTTTTTTTTGCCATCGCCATGCTTTTTCTTCCACCCTGTATTTCTATTATTTTTCCGACTGGCTGCCATTGCCCTCTGCTGGCAGTGTGCCACATTCCGTGGCAGGGCACACATGCTAGGGTGTCCTTTTCCCTCCACGTGGCCAGCATAATAAACCTAATTTCAGTTGAGATGTTGCGAAACAGTAACTGATAACTACCAGCTGAATAACTTGTTGAAAATATGTTATTGAACCGGATTTTTTTATACAAAGTTATGGTGTGTCAATTATGTGATTTAATCCGTCATTTAGTTTGATTAACATTTAAAAACCATTCACATCTGTGCAACTATACTTGATTGGCTTTATACACTTAGGCAACACCTGGAACAGCTTGCGTGATTTAATAATCCCCACGTGGGCACGCCCCAAACAAGTTGCTCCATATTTCAACCCATTCAGCTGGCTTCAGTTCTGCAAACTTTTTTCCAGAGACGCGAAAAAACTTTCGCGCTGCCAGTTTATTGGGCTTTTACGTGGGCGAAAGAGCCTTCACGTCTGAGAGTTAAACACAATTTTAAATGCATTTTTCTGGTACTTGACTAATTTGCTTAATATTCGCAAACGCGGACTGAATTTGACTGTGCGTGTAAACTGCCAGGGGAAATAAAGGAGGCAATTTGGGGGAGGAGGGGTGCGGGGGGCAAATCGTCTGAAAGCTGTCGCCTATTTATAATGTTTGTCCTTGCCACACATTCAAACGTTTAGACGTCGACTGAAGTGTGTGTGCTTTTGAGCTTTGTTATGTTTTGATTAACGGCAAATCAAATCAAACGGGATAATGAGTCGGAATGGAATTACCTAAGTGTGCACTCAATGAGCCATGCAGACGGCCAAACAAAAGATTAATTCTTTAATGGTCTTAATTAGTTTCCCATTAAGTCAAGGACATTGCGCATCCGCCCCGTAACACATTATTTCGTCCGCTGCACTGGGCATGTATTTTTTGTTTGTCACATTGCAACGAGCCTGGAAATTGGAATGTGCAATTGTCTAATACTACACCATTAGCAGTGTTATTAATAATCATAACAAATAGTCGCCATGACCCAAATTTGTGCACGGACATGCTCTCCTTTGCAGTTTTCCCTCGAGGGAGACGAACAGCAAATTATTGTTTAAATATTTAACAACCACACTCGCAGGCTCCAGAATGCATTTTGAGGGGCAAACACAATGGGCAGATAAACAAAGCCGCCGTCTGACTGCTGTCCAAATTTGCATAAATTAGGGAGTCCCAAACTCATGCCAGACACATACAATGCCTTTCATAATACAGAAACCAAATTTGGGGACTCAAACAATTGACCCAAATTGACCATAAAGTAAACAAAAGTTGTGTACGACAATCACAATTATTAACCTCATATAAATCAGACTTTGAGCCGTTGTTAATTGTGAATTTAGTAAGATTTTTTTGTGCCAGCTCATGTAAAACAAAAGAATCATCATAATGTCGAAAAATACTCTTTCAAATAAATGCCGCTGATGGATATTTATGAGCTATCATGTAATCTGCTCGAATGTATTCGAATATTTGTGCTTGAGTAGCCATGCAAATTAATAATTATTCCACAGTTCCCACATAATCATCATTATTGTCTGGCTCATTTGACAGCAATGTCAATTCCAGTCTCATTCGATGTGGCCCACCCATTTATCCCAAAAGATATTCTACCATGTAAGGACACACATACTATAGAGGTGTCTATATGGATGCATACATGTATTTGTCACAGCTTGACTTCAATTGCAAAATTGGCTGCACTTGCGAGAAGAGGCAACCTTTTTGTAAATATTTCATTCTGGTTTTATTGGTTGCGGTCAGCTCGTTTCTGAGGTTATAAAGTTAATGAATTGCATTTTGATATGTAGTATGTTGTGGGATATCACCTCCTTTTCCGCTGCTGCGGACTGTCTCTTAGCCTTAATAATCCTTAAAGCGGAAGCCTCGCCAGAAAATCGAATCAAGATTAAATTAAATCTGAGGATGGTTGTTTCTCTCGGCTCTTCGGGGGATTCAGGGTTCAGAAGGACCCAAATGACGCACATGCAAGGACGCACCTGCACATTGCGATAAGCTGGGGGAAATTCGCATGCGACTGGTGCTCCCTTGGCGTCGATGAGGATATATTCAGCTTGAACTCGATTCCGTGCATTTGTCATAATTGGCAACGGAGTGTGCTTCCCGCTTTTCCCGCTTTCCCCACCCCCCACTCCCCGAAAAACTTACCCACACACGGGATCTAATCGCATCAGGA